AATATAATATGATATAATATAATATAATATCACATCATATAATATAATATAATATTATAATATTATATACAGTGTAAATAATATATATTATATTATATCATTATATTATATTATATATATACAGTGTATATAATGAGCGTTGTGTTCAGGAACACGCCGTCACCGTGCTTTTGTGTGAAATCCCGGACCGGACGTGCTTGGTGTTAGCTCCGTTAGCTTGTTAGCTGCTGCTGCGGCTCCGGTGGTCGCGGCTGCTGTTTAACCTGAAACCGAGCGGCGGGCAGCGGCGATCTTTACCGACCGGAGACGACCGTTTACCGGCGGATCACATCCTCCAGCCGGGCAGAGGCTCCGGATGGAGCCGCGAGGATTGTAGAGATCCACCGGGAGGATAAACCCCGAGCTCGGCATCCGCGCGGAGAGAGAGAGAGAGGAGCGTTTCATGAACGGCGACTGTCCAGTAGGTGCTAGCTAACATCAGTCAGTCAGCGGCCGAACAGCTTTAAAAAATCACGTATTTACCAGACAAATAGCTCTCACTCGGTCATTTTAACAGTCAGGAGGCTTTAACTTCCCGGTGTTAATGAAAACATGTCAGTCTAGAGATCGGCTGCTAACACAGCCACGTTACTGATCACTAGAGACGTGATTATACCTGATAACATAATGATCCGTAACACCGGGCTCCTTTTTAAAACCTGCAGAAAATCGACCTGATTTTACAGACAGGCTGCTTCATTTCATGTCTCAGTGTTCCTCACACATTTATATTTCATTATTTCACAGCAGGCTGAAGAGCCTATATATAAAGCTTTATTTTCCTTTTCTGGCAGATTGTAATCCCCTTTCAGCTTTGAATCTGTGCAGTGGGTTCATCACCTGCTGCTCATATGAAAGTGAGCCAGACTCTGGAGGGAAATCCTCCCTTCTGACCGACGCTGTTTGTGCTGCAGGTGGAGGCTGCAGACGGCATGGCGGAGCAGCCGGACCCCGACGATGCCGGTAAGACTGTCTCCTGTACCTGAACCCTAAAACCAGGTCTTGACCCCCACACAGCCCTTTAAACCTGTGGGCTCCAGCTTTTTGGCCCCCCAGGTCAAACACACGGAGTTATTCCTGAACACGAGGGCCAGACAGACAAGGACTCTGACCTTCATCGGTCTGATGATCTGAATCAGCAGATCCAGTAACTAAAAACCACAACAGACTGCAAGGCATGATGGGTAGACACAGCGTTATGGATCAGGGTTATCGATTTGTCCGAGGTGTCAGGTGACCTCCAAAAGAGGCGGGAACAGAAGCTGAATAAATAAGAGAGAGAGAAGGAAGTACGATGTGTTTTACTTTGGGGGAGCGTAGGATGTTCCCAGCATGCTTTGCAGCGTGACAGAGCAACCAGCTGTCTGTTGTCACGGCTACAGACAGCTTAGAGACGAGCTCATCTGTTCAGTTTTTTAGGCCAACACACACACACACACACACACACACACACAGATAACCACGGTAACCTTCTCTTATGACTCAGCAGTTTATACCGAACACACAGGAAGTGATGTCACACAATGCTGATAGTGATTGAATCCTAACCACAGCTGGATGATGATGATGATGATGATGGTGATGGTGGTGATGATGATGGTGGTGATGATGATGGTGATGGTGATGATGGTGATGGTGAGAATGATGGTGATGATGATGATGGTGATGATGGTGATGATGGTGAGAATGATGGTGATGATGATGGTGATGGTGAGAATGATGGTGATGATGATGGTGAGAATGATGATGATGGTGATGATGGTGATGATGGTGATGGTGATGATGGTGATGGTGATGATGGTGAGATGATGGTGATGATGATGATGGTGATGATGGTGATGATGGTGAGAATGATGGTGATGATGATGGTGAGAATGATGGTGATGATGGTGATGATGATGGTGAGAATGATGATGATGGTGATGATGGTGATGGTGAGAATGATGGTGATGATGGTGAGAATGATGGTGATGATGGTGATGGTGAGAATGATGATGATGGTGATGATGGTGATGATGATGATGGTGATGATGATGGTGATGGTGAGAATGATGGTGATGGTGAGAATGATGGTGAGAATGATGGTGATGATGATGGTGAGAATGATGGTGATGATGGTGATGATGATGATGGTGAGAATGATGGTGATGATGGGTGATGATGATGGTGATGGTGAATGATGATGATGGTGATGATGAGGTGGTGATGATGATGATGATGGTGATGATGATGATGGTGATGGTGAGAATGATGATGATGGTGATGATGGTGATGATGATGATGATGGTGATGATGATGATGATGATGGTGATGGTGAGAATGATGAGGTGATGATGATGGTGATGATGATGATGATGGTGTTGATGATGATGATGATGATGATGATGATGGTGATGATGATGATGATGATGATGATGAAGGTGTTGTGCGTTGCAGCCTCAGAGGAGTCGGAGAGAGACATCTACATGCGCTTCATGAAGTGTCACAAGTGTTACGACATCATCCCCACCAGCTCCAAACTGGTGGTGTTCGACACCACGCTGCAGGTGAGATATATTAGTCACAAACGGACAGCTGACCGTCTCCTGTCCGACGGGAAGAGATTCGGCTCACAGAAACAAATCTGCGTTGTCCAAGAAGGAAACAAGTTCCTGATGACTACATTATATTTTTAGATTTTGTATTGTCACTTACACCTGAGTTTGTGTTTCCCTTTATAAATATAAAAGACATTTCTACCATAAATTGGTCTGGAAAATGTTCCAAAATGCAGAAAATGAAGTGTTTAATGCTCAAAATCTTCCGGGGGAGGAGCCCCAGACTCCCAAACATAAATCACAGTAGTGAATATTTATTCTGATATCTTCTTGTTTTGTTCACGTCTCGGGAGTAAGTGTCTCACTGCACTCCTAATCTGAGCCCATAAATGCCTCCACCCCTTTTCAGCACAAAGTGGCGCCCTTGACTGAGACAAACTGAGACTCCACTGACGCCAGCTGCGCCACGGTTCTGTTCCGTCCTCCGCTCGGCGTCACCGTCCTCTACAATCGTTTCATCGGCGCAGCGCGTTGTTGACTTGTTGTTAAGTTGACCTTTTTGTGTTTCTACTGCCGTCTTCACGGCTCTCTGAGACGCCGTTTAGTTCCGTCGTTGGCAGGCTGGGAGCATTTCACAATAAGAGCGTTTGCCTGTTTTTGCTGACAGTTTTATATTTTGTTGATTTGGTAATCGGTTCTTACTCTTTCTGCTTTACTGTTTTAAATGCTTTCTCTTTTGTCTGTTTATTGTAAGGTTGTAACCCTCGTGAGAGAGGCGAGAGAGATAGAAGCGCATGTCGTAGATTCACCTGCTGTTAAAAAAGCTTGCTCTGTCATCGCTGCCGCTGGTTAAGTTGATAATTAACGGCAGGCCAAAACAGCCTTCAGTCCCCTGGGAAATCTCCCCGTGCTTCTGACTTCCGCTAGTTTTATCCCCACAGCATCTTCTTGTTTACAGTGTCGTTTGTCAGTAGCGCGCAGGACAGTAGGCTTCACCAGTGGACCAATGAGCAAACACTATGTGCAGGTTGTACTCATGGGAGTTATAGTGTCACATTGCAGTTCGTTTGTTTATGCCTTTTGACTTGACTGATTTTTAACACGCCAAAGTGGTTAGTGGGAGTGACACCCTATGTCAAGCCCTGTTTATTACTGTAACTGATCCAGGATCAGCTTTAATGAATCTGCTCTCAGCTGTAATTAGTACAAAGTCTGTTTCAGGAGAGACGAGAGAAACTTTCGGGAAACTGCAGCAGCTGTGAAACAAAGTGTTGATAAAAACATCACAGAATGTTTTTCTTATTGAGCTGATAACCAGCAGACAGCTGGAGAAGAAACTAACCGTCATCAGAAAACAAGAAGACGCTTCAACCATTGTTGTCATTGTTAAATAAGAAGAAGCTGAAATCTAATCATAGCTTATTAAACAAAGTGTAACATCTCTAGCAGAATATATGTTATAATAATTATTGGTGTTGTTTCAGGTGAAGAAGGCGTTCTTTGCTCTGGTGGCGAACGGCGTGAGAGCTGCTCCTCTGTGGGAGAGCAAGAAGCAGAGCTTTGTAGGTAAGACGGCTTCATCCTGTCGGCTCTCACGCTGCTGAGTCAGGCCCTCCAGGATCTCAAGGGCCGCTTTGTGATTTGAAGTTGTGGAATAAGTGAAAACTGATGCTTTTAACTTTAGAATTGTAATTGAATGATTGAACAGTCCCTCCAGGACTTGGCGGGCCTGACCCTGCATATTTAAACCAGCTGACCTTGATTCTTTCCTGCAGCTGTCCAGGTGCAGCAGCCTGTGTCTCAGCATCTCGTCTGACGTCCTCCACGTGTTTCTGACATTCTCTCTCAAAGTGTTTGTCAGCGGACGATTTCCTTTGTGTTCGACCACAATACTGCACGTTCTGCAGAATCTACATGCGCTTCATGAAGTGTTACGACTTCATCCCCACCAGCTCCAAACTGGTGACAAAATCCTACCACATGGACGACCCCGGGACAAAGATGATGATAATAATAATAATAATAATCTTTATTTGTAGAGCACTTTTCAAAAACAAGTTACAAAGTGCTTTAACAAGTGTAAAGACAATAATACCCAAAAGACAATAATACAGAAACAATACAAGATAAAAGCAAGAAAACATTGAAAAGACTAAAATACACATTTAAGATAAATATTAAATAAGTAAAATAGAATATCCTACCATATGGGCCACCCCGGGACAAAAATCCTACCATATGGGTGATCCTGGGACAAAAATCCTACTTAATGGGCGATCCTGGGACAAAATCCTACTTAATGGGCGATCCTGGGACAAAATCCTACCATATGGGCGATCCTGGGACAAAATCCTACCATATGGGTGATCCTGGGACAAAATCCTACCATATGGGTGATCCTGGGACAAAAATCCTACCATATGGGCGATCCTGGGACAAAAATCCTACCATATGGGCGGCCCTGGGACAAAAATCCTACCATATGGGCGGCCCTGGGACAAAAATCCTACCATATGGGCCATCCTGGGACAAAAATCCTATCATATGGGCGATCCTGGGACAAAAATCCTACCATATGGGCGATCCTGGGACAAAATCCTACCATAGGTGCAACCCTGGGACAAAACTCCTACCATATGGGCAACCCTGGGACAAAAATCCTACCATATGGGCGATCCTGGGACAAAAATCCTACCATATGGGCGATCCTGGGACAAAAATCCTACCATATGGGCGATCCTGGGACAAAATCCTACCAAAGGTGCAATCCTGGGACAAAATCCTACCATATGTGCAATCCTGGGACAAAATCCTACCATATGTGCGGCCCTGGGACAAAAATCCTACCATATGTGCGGCCCTGGGACAAAAATCCTACCATATGGGCGGCCCTGGGACAAAAATCCTACTTAATGGGCGATCCTGGGACAAAAATCCTACTTAATGGGCGATCCTGGGACAAAATCCTACCAAAGGTGCAATCCTGGGACAAAATCCTACCATATGTGCAATCCTGGGACAAAATCCTACCAAAGGTGCAATCCTGGGACAAAATCCTACCATATGTGCAATCCTGGCACAAAATCCTACTTAATGGGCGATCCTGGGACAAAATCCTACCATATGTGCAATCCTGGGACAAAATCCTACCATATGTGCAAACCTTCCATATGGACGGCCCTGGGACAAAATCCTACCATGTGTGCAATCCTGGGACAAAATCCTACTTAATGGGCAATCCTGGGACAAAATCCTACCATATGTGCAAACCTTCCATATGGACGGCCCTGGGACAAAATCCTACCATATGTGCAATCCTGGGACAAAATCCTACCATATGTGCAATCCTTCCATATGGACGGCCCTGGGACAAAATCCTACCATATGGGCGGCCCTGGGACAAAAATCCTACCATATGGGCCATCCTGGGACAAAATCCTACCCCTGGGACAAAAATCCTACCATATGTGCGGCCCTGGGACAAAAATCCTACCATATGTGCGGCCCTGGGACAAAATCCTACCATATGGGCGGCCCTGGGACAAAAATCCTACCATATGGGCGATCCTGGGACAAAATCCTACCATATGTGCGGCCCTGGGACAAAAATCCTTCCATATGTGCGGCCCTGGGACAAAAATCCTACCATATGGGCGATCCTGGGACAAAAATCCTTCCATATGGGCGGCCCTGGGACAAAAATCCTTCCATATGGGCGGCCCTGGGACAAAAATCCTACCATATGGGCGGCCCTGGGACAAAAATCCTTCCATATGGGCGGCCCTGGGACAAAAATCCTTCCATATGGGCGGCCCTGGGACAAAAATCCTTCCATATGGGCGGCCCTGGGACAAAAATCCTTCCATATGGGCGGCCCTGGGACAAAAATCCTTCCATATGGGCGGCCCTGGTCTAATTTGTGTCAGTTTAGGGGTCCTTTCCTTGATGAGAAAAGGTTTGAGAACCACTGTTCTAAACAAGGAAGTGAGTTTGCAGACGTGTGAAAACGTTTAGCCGGAAAAGGAGATGAGCGCTCAGATTTGTGAACACTGAATTCACAGGGATTTGTTTTAATAGTTGATATCGAGGCATCAAGAAATCCTGGAGGAACTGATTAATATTCATGAAGACTGAGAGAACACGTTTGTACTTTAATAAATCTCTGTGTGTTTCAGGAATGTTGACGATCACAGACTTCATCAACATCCTGACCAGATACTATAAATCCCCCATGGTAACACACACACACACACACACACACACACACACACACACACACACACACTCGTTGAGGTGTTCTTTATTCAGTCTTTATGCTAAGCTAGGCTAACCAGCTGCAGGGTGTAACTTCCTCTGACAGGAAGTTCCTGACAGGTCTCTCACGTACAGAACATGTGGACATTGATGCTTTTTGTCCCTCGAGCAGACCGATAGTCTCAGAGTGCGTCTCTGTGTCTCTGTCAGGTTCAGATCTACGAGCTGGAGGAACATAAAATCGAGACGTGGCGAGGTAACAGCTGTCACTCCGACCGAGCTACACCGAGCCGCATGTTAGACTGTCTTTTATTTTGAAATTCATACTAAACTTCCTGCGTCGTGTTTCAGAGCTGTACCTGCAGGAGACCTTCAAACCTCTGGTGCACATCTCACCTGACGCCAGGTGAGTTATTACCTGCTGAAAATACACTGAGGAGAGTGGACAAGGAAAGGAAACAAGAAAGGAGAGAAGGGGAGATGAGGAGACTAGGAGAGGAGACAAGGAAAGGAAACAAGAAAGGAGAGAAGGGGAGATGAGGAGACTAGGAGAGGAGAGGAATCAAGATGAGGAGAGGAGACAAGGAAAGGAAACAAGAAAGGAGAGAAGGGGAGATGAGGAGACTAGGAGAGGAGAGGAATCAAGATGAGGAGAGGAGACAAGGAAAGGAAACAAGATAGGAGAGAAGGGGAGATGAGGAGACTAGGAGAGGAGAGGAATCAAGATGAGGAGAGGAGACAAGGAAAGGAAACAAGAAAGGAGAGAAGGGGAGATGAGGAGACTAGGAGAGGAGAGGAATCAAGATGAGGAGAGGAGACAAGGAAAGGAAACAAGAAAGGAGAGAAGGGGAGATGAGGAGACTAGGAGAGGAGAGGAATCAAGATGAGGAGAGGAGACAAGGAAAGGAAACAAGAAAGGAGAGAAGGGGAGATGAGGAGACTAGGAGAGGAGAGGAATCAAGATGAGGAGAGGAGACAAGGAAAGGAAACAAGAAAGGAGAGAAGGGGAGATGAGGAGACTAGGAGAGGAGAGGAATCAAGATGAGGAGAGGAGACAAGGAAAGGAAACAAGAAAGGAGAGAAGGGGAGATGAGGAGACTAGGAGAGGAGAGGAATCAAGATGAGAAGAGGAGACAAGGAGAAGAGGAAAGGTAGTGGAGAGGAGAGGAGGAGAGATAAAACATTGCTGTAACTAACCCCCCCCCTCAGTATATTTGAGGCCGTGTACTCGCTGATAAAGAACAAGATCCATCGTCTTCCCGTCATCGACCCGGTCAGCGGGAACGCTCTCTACATCCTGACTCACAAGAGGATCCTCAAGTTCCTGCAGCTCTTTGTGAGTAAATATTCACACCTCAGTACAAACTGTACTACACGTTACCTGTGTACACGCAGTACTACATGTTACCTGTGTACACGCAGTACTACACGTTACCTGTGTACAAACTGTACTACACGTTACCTGTGTACACGCAGTACTACACGTTACCTGTGTACAAACTGTACTACATGTTACCTGTGTACACGCTGTACTACACGTTACCTGTGTACACGCAGTACTACACGTAACCTGTGTACACGCAGTACTACACGTAACCTGTGTACACGCAGTACTACATGTGTATTATGTTTGTGTAGTTAGTGTAGAAAGCGTGCAGCAGCAGACGGCTGAATACAGATGAATGAATTAAACTGTTTCTGATGACCTGCAGCTCTTAATGTGTGTGTGTGTGTGTGTGTGTGTGTGTGTGTGTTTTGTGTGTGTGCGTGTGCGTGTGTGTGTGTGTGTTTTGATCACGTGCATCAGGTGTGCGAGATGCCCATGCCGGCCTTCATGAAGCAGACTCTGGAGGAGTTGGCGGTGGGGACGTACGCCAACATCGCCTTCATCCACCCGGACACGCCGCTCATCACGGCGCTGTCCGTCTTCACACACCGCCGCGTCTCCGCCCTGCCCGTCGTCGACCACAACGGTAACCGTCGCTAACGACACAGTTAAGCTTTGCTCTCGTGCCCGCAGGCGGCGGCCGCTCGGTGTGAACGTGTCGTCTCCTTGTGTGTCCGCAGGTAAAGTGGTGGACATCTACTCCAAGTTCGACGTCATTGTGAGTAGCTGCGTGACGCCGGGTTAAAGGTCAGGGTTGTGTTCACTGTCTGTGGGAAACCTGAGTGTGATCCGTGTGTGCAGAACCTGGCGGCGGAGAAGACGTACAACAACCTGGACGTGACGGTGACGCAGGCTCTCAGACACAGGTCGCAGTACTTTGAGGGCGTCATGAAGTGCAACAAGCTGGAAACTCTGGAGACCATCATGGACCGCATCGTGAAGGCCGAGGTCACAAACACAGAGATGTTATTACACGTTTATGTCCAATAACTGATTAATGACCAAGTGAAACATTGAAGCTTTTTGATATGTTATTTATTTTATTTATAGTTCATAGCAACAGTTATCTTTTCTACAGAGCAGCCCTAGAACGAACTCTGAGACCCAACAGCTCCCGCATGAGGAAACACAGTGGTCATTTTACTGAAACTAGAATTCAGGATCAATTATCAGACATTAAATTGATAGCCAGTTGGAGCCAGTTGGGCAGTTTGGCGTCTGGTAAGGATGCCCACCTGTTCCGTGCAGCTGGGAGGAGGCTTCAGGGACGGGAGGCTCTCCTGCTGCTGATCAACACGTGTGTGTGTGTGTTGCAGGTTCACAGGCTGGTAGTCGTTGACGAAGAGTCTCGTATCGTCGGCATCGTCTCTCTGTCCGACATCCTGCAGGCGCTGGTGCTGACGCCCGCAGGTACGCACACAGAAACACACCCAGAGTCCCAAGTGCGAGACAGACGGCCTCTGGCGAGCACGCAGCTACAGCCCTTATGTATTCAAGTCCCGCCACTCTGCGGTTATTCGCACCAACAGGATCAGGACTCTCAGAGGACACGTGTGGTTTTCTTTACAAATTCTGGTTCACTTGCTAAAAGGACAAACTAAAGAAATCAACATTTTATTTGTTCCGGAACAAAGCAGGCCGACTAGCGGACTCTCCTGGTCTGAATGTGCCCCTGTTCACGTTGTGTATCTGTCTGTCTGCAGGTCTGAGGAGGAAGGAGTCTCTCCCCCATCAGCCAGCAGCTGTGGACTCAACAGAACCAGAGACAGCATGTAATCCTGAACTAGATCAGGACAAGAACCAGGGACTGGAGCCTAGTACTGAGACAGAAAGCAAACCTGAACCGAGCCATGATCAGGACCAGGGACTGGAGTCCTGTGCAGAGACTCAAGACCAGGACCAGGGACTGGAGTCCTGTGCAGAGACAGAAAGCAAACCTGAACCAGACCAGGACCAGGACCAGGGACTGGAGTTATGTGCAGAGACAGAAAGCAAACCTGAACCAGACCAGGACCAGGACCAGGGACTGGAGTTATGTGCAGAGACAGAAAGCAAACCTGAACCAGACCAGGACCAGGGACTGGAGTTATGTGCAGAGACAGAAAGCAAACCTGAACCAGACCAGGACCAGGGACTGGAGTCCTGTGCAGAAACTCAGGACCAGGACCAGAGACTGGAGTTATGTGCAGAGACAGAAAGCAAACCTGAACCAGACCAGGACCAGGACCAGGGACTGGAGTTATGTGCAGAGACAGAAAGCAAACCTGAACCAGACCAGGACCAGGACCAGGGACTGGAGTTATGTGCAGAGACAGAAAGCAAACCTGAACCGGACCAGGACCAGGACCAGAGACTGGAGTTATGTGCAGAGACCGAAAGCAAACCTGAACCGGACCAGGACCAGGACCAGGAGATGAGTAAAGAAACAGAGACTAGCTGTGAGGACACGGAGACTGCTGAGACCTGCCAGCAGGGGGAGCCAGAAGAGACAGGCAAAGGAGAGGAGGAGGAGGAGGAGGAGGAGGAGGAGGAGGAGGAGGAGGAGGAGGAGGCGGCAGCGTGACATCGAGGTCGCAGGAGCGACCTGGTGCGGCTGCAGAGGGATGAAGCCCGACTCAGACCACAGCTGTTGCTAACAGCAGCCAGTTAGTTTGAAAACCAGTAGGGATCCAACAGCCGTCACAGACAGAACAAAACGCTGCAGCTTTGTTTTTCCTTTTGGGTTTAAAACAGAAAAAAGCAAAAAACGACTTGTTTTTTGTTTTTTAAACTAAAGAAACAGGACTAAAAGAATTACACAGAGATGTACAGATAAATATTTTATTTGATGAAGAGCCATTTAAAACCGTCATCATGTAAACTTTACATATAATTAACATTTTACCATCACGTCGTCATGGTGCCTTTCATTTGAGCCTCAGCTCCTGATTGGTTGAGAGTTTTAGATCAATAAATCATTATAAAATAGTTTCACTGAGACCCTGTTTATCTGCTGGACCTGTATTATATTGATTCTGATATATAATCTTAGTCTCTGCGTATGGAAAGATGTGTACGTTTTATAGAGATGTTTTGTTATTTTGGTCTAAACTTTCTGAAGAATCTGTACAAAGATAGATTTTATTGTTAAAGTATTTGTAGTTTCTAGTTGTGTTCACGTGAGATTCACAGTGAGACTGTAGGGCGCGACTCTATTTCAATAAGTCACATTTAATATCCCTGTAAGACTGAACCTGATCGCCTCCTGAACCTTTGGCTTATAAAATGTTGTCTGTGGGGATTCTGGGTAATGTAGTACTTTAATGTAAACAGCAGGTGGCAGCAGAATGAAACCGAGTCAGAGAGGAGGAGTTTTATTTAAGCTAATTTATAGAGGATTTCTCTCACAGCAAGAAATAATATTTAGCTTGTTTTATTTTAGCTGAAACAAACTTTAGACTTTGACACGACTTAAAGTCCTGAGCAGAGACCCGTCCACCCTCAGCATCATAAATGTTCTGTATCTGTTGCTTAAAAACATGAATAAAACATCTTGATTTTTCTCTGTAATGTGTTGTGTTTTTGTTTTATTTCCTTTAGGCTCAGCAGTTTTATTCTGTCAGAGGAAACCTGTCCAGTTTACTCACTGTCACTGCAGAGCGAAATGACTATAAACAATAAATATTAATATATTAGCTACAGACTTTCAAAGAGGTCATATTCTGCTCATTTTCAGGTTAAAAATCTTATTCAGGGGTTAAATGATCTTTGTTGGGAGTTGCACATGCTCAGTTCCTAGTTAAGGACTATTAGTCACAGCTGTTCTCATCTGTGACCCCACGATGGTGGAACGAGCTACTACGCCATCAGAGCAGCGGCGTCCCTCTCTCACGGAGAACCAACATGCACTTCCTGTGCTCTTCTTCTTCTATCCCCTTACAATTATTATTGCACTGTTTTTGCTAACTCTTACTTCCTTCCCTCGGTATCTACCCCATTAATGTGATATGTACTGTGAGCTCTTAGTAGTATTTATTGCTGCTCTTACTAGTATGTACTAGTATGTATTGTCAGTTGTAGATCTGTATTTGACGCTCTGTTGATGATTGTATGTTGTTCCTCAAATGTAAGTCATTTTGGATAAAAGCATCTGCCAAATGAGTAAATGTAAATGTAAGGACTACTAGCCAATCAGAATCAGAGAAGGGCGGGTCAGCGAGAAGCCGGTAAACAGCTCGGGTTCAACTGTACATGTTGCCGACCAGCTTGGCAACATGGACTGGAGCGAGAGTTTCAGAGTGGTGAGTTTTTAATCTGTATCCATAAAGTCGCCGGGATGAAAGGGAAGCTGCTGGATTACAAACGAGCTGTTTTCAGGCAGTTCAGAGCAGAGTTTTCTGGACTTTGGGCTTTTTCACTTTGCAAACCTGTTACATGCACAAAAAGGGTATATAACAATAAAGGAGAGGGGAAAAGCCAAAAAGCAAAATATGACCTCTTTTAACTTCCCAGATCTGAAAATGTTTGCTTTCAAAAGCTTATTTTATCTTAGAAATGTCTAAAAAATAAGTTTAAGTTAATTAAGCAGAAACTTTTTCTTGTGGAAAGAAACTGGACCTGTCCTGTTGGGGTGTTATTCCAGTTCAAAATTCAGAATCTCAGAAAGTGTTGAGTTCATCTGCAGCTCCTGAACACACCTCAGCCCTCTGATACCATCCGGAGATAACTGCTATCTGACAGAGACAAGACAACACACAGCAGACATATGTTTTACTTAAGGCCTGTTCACACATGCAATTAACAAAACAATAAACAAAATCAATTCATTTCAAACCATCCTATTTTATTAAAGCTCCTCTATCAGAGTATAAACTACTCCGTGTTTACACAGAGTTCAGAGTCGATGGTGCTAATAAAGCTTTTCAATAAACTGTTTAACACTTTACTGATAGAAATGATAAACTATCCTGAGATGAAATACATAGAAAGAAGCTCAGCAAGATAATGAAACTAACCCGGCAGGCTAGCATACAAACTTCCTGCACTTAGTCTCTTAGGGGTCCAAGCCTGAGTGAGGTGGGTGCCCAGGCATGCAAACGAACAAAAGTTCGAATTATATGGTGTATTAGTTTGTTTTCCAGGTTTGAAACATTGTAAATGGTAATCTGAAAAGTGGTGTACGCAAGTGTGAAAAAAAGTTTTAAAACTCTCTCTTTTTAAAACTGAAAATTGAGTTTGAAATGTCGAATCTTTATTACACTACATTAAATTGCCCTCGTATTGCAGACTATTTTTTCAGAGCTGAGTTTACAACACCCACAAAATTATCATTCTAAGACATGTGATTTTATTGCCTCAATTTGTGAGAAGGTGAATAAAAGCCAACTGTCACCAGTGGTTCAGTCACCTACTCTTGGGAAGGATCAGAGTTCAAATCCCCATTTCACCAAGTCCCAATTGCCAAGAATGGTGATTTTATCCATGTGGTGTGTTTTCAATTACTCACTGAGTCAGTTTTCTGTTCTACCTGGATCCCATGAACATTTCCTATTACTTTTCTCTGCTAAAAAGTGTTTGTGCAGCAAAACCCTTAAACCTTGGAAACAACAATGGGCAGGTGGGTTGCGAATTTCACTCTAGGTAGGCATATATAACGACACTCTCTGACCTCAAGGTGATGCTGTAATAATTAAGTTTGCATTTCTGCAATTACCACACATCACTTTAATCTCTTAATTCATCTGCATTCATCTTCTCCTAAATACTCCCTTGGAGGAGGGAGGGTGTTAAAAGTGTTTTCTGTGTTTTTATTTAAAACCTATATATTCTACTCTTATGGTCGTATGAGTATTGTTTAATTGTTAATAAATATCTTTAATTTTTGCACATAAGCTGTCTCCTGTTTCTTTAGACCCAGTTTTCATGTATATTTGTTACTCCTCTCTACACATCTGGGCTTGAGCCACCTGAGGACACTTACTTCAAAGTGTCAATTTGCAGTATGGACTTTCCAGTTCTGCAAACAGCAGCTTCACTCCTGAATCCTGCAGGCTGTTTTTACTCAGGTCCAGCTCTCTCAGATGGGATGGGTTGGACTTCAATGCTGATGCCAAATTAGTACATCCTTCATCTGTGATCCGACAGCTTTTCAACCTAGAGAAATTTATGTTGACATTTTTTTAAGACTGCACCCAGAGTAAAGCTTGAGGGGGAAAAAAACAATCTACCTCAGTGTTGCCAGTCTACAGTGTGGACTCTCCAGTCCAGCAGATAGCTGCTTCACTCCTGAATCCTGTAGTGTGTTGTCACTCAGGTCCAGTTCTCTCAGATGGGAGGGGTTGGACTTCAGAGCCGATGCCAGAGAAGCACAGCTAATCCGTGTCAGTTCACAGAAACTAAGTCTGTAATATGGGATAAACACTCAGTTACTCACACTGTACATACAATCTTCATCGCGCACCATATTTTGAGCTGCCACCTATACACAAGTAATAAAATATGTAATATACCTTTACTCATTTTAAATCTGCAAGTGAATGACATTCTGCCAGCTGACCTGAGAGTCTCCAGTCTCCAGTGTGGACTCTCCAGTCCAGCAGACAGCAGCCTCACTCCTGAATCCTGCAGGCTGTTTTTACTCAGGTCCAGCTCTCTCAGATGTGAGGGGTTGGACTTCAGAGCTGAGGCCATAGAAGCACAGCTGATGTCTGACAACCTGCAGAGCACCAGTCTAAATGAAAAAAGACAGTAGTAATTTATAAAATGTAGAAATCCTGCTTGTAAATGATTAGTCAGCATAATTGACGTTGATTATAAAAATTAATTGACAAGGAATTTCATTGTCCATAAGTCTTTCCATAAATTTTGTATATGGTTGAGATAGCAATCCCGTTGAGAATATTCCTAGTTTTGAGACGAGAAATCATCTGTGTAGATTATGAGTACTGGCATGGTTTTACGAAAGTTGATGGTCAATTGAAAATGTGCTCAAATGTTTTCAGGATTGAGAAGTTCGCCAGCAGAGATAGTTAGTGAGCCAGCCAGAAAGTGACGCTTACAGAGCCAAATGGTCCCACAGTTATACAGAGCGTTAAATAGTAAATCATTGATATATATATATAATATATATTATAAGAGTAGGCTACCCTGTCTCATCTTCTTCCTTATTTTTTCCCCTCGCGTTAATACTAGTGTTCATTCTAAAAAGTAAACTTTGCCCACCTAATGGTAGCTAGTTAGTCTGTGGAGTATATCAGTATTTCACTTGAAATATTTTAATTAGGTAGATGGTTTAATTAGTGTTAGGGGGTTACAAAAATAATCGTTGACCATCAACAAATCGAACAAAACAATAGACAAGAGTAGTCGATTACAAAAATAATATATAGTTGCAGCCCTAGTCAGAAGAGTTCTAAAACATTTATTTTTATAATTTGTTGTTCATTCCTACAGTGCCCTAAGCTTTGGCTACTGCACTGTTTGATATACAGACCAGATCTTTCTGTAACAGGTCGGATGTAGAATTAATTCAGAGGTCACTGCCAGTAACAGTTGGACTCATGTTGATTTGTTGCTTTGCAAGTGACAGACTTTGGTTTACATTACATTTATTCATTTAGCTGACCAAAGCGACTTACAATTGCTATACATGTCAGAGGTCGCACGCCTCTGGAGCAACGAGGGGTTAAGTGTCTTGCTCAGGGACACAATGGTGGATGTCTCACAGTGGGAATCGAATCCAGGTCTCCCAGACCAAAGGCAAGCATCTTATCTATGCGCCATCACCACTAGCTATGTTTGCAATATGGACTGGTGCGCCACAACTCTGGACAGGAACTTGGAGCTAACATATGACCAAATATGCAGAAAAATAGACCATTAAAATTGCATGTGAACAGGGTTTGCACTTCTGCACTTCTCCTATGCAGTTGATTAAGATACTCAGTGTAAATTTAAATGTTCCGTATTTGTATAGCGCCTCTCTAGTCTTTTCGACCACTCAAAGCGCTTTACACTACATTGTATTCACCATTCACACACTGAACCTAAGTGCTCAAACAGAAACTAACATTCACACACATTCATAGCCAGGGGCAATTTGGGGTTCAGTATCTTGCCCAAGGACACTTCGACATGCAGCCTGGAGGAGCCGGGGATTGAACCGCTGACCTTCTGATTAATGAGCAACCCGCTACACAGTGTGTGGATCCGTATAAAATCAGCTTTTTGTCTGCAGTTTAGTGTCGCCACAACGTTCACGTCATATTAACCTTAGCACAGAAGGAAAATATGATGTCTGACCTCAGAGTCTCCAGTCTGCAGTGTGGACTCTCCAGAAAATCACACAGCAGCTTCACTCCTGAATCCTGCAGTTTGTTTTTACTCAGGTCCAGCTCTCTCAGATGGGAGGGGTTGGACTTCAGAGCGGAGGCCAGAGAAGCACAGCTAATCTGTGTCAGTTCACAGCAACTAAGTCTGTAATATGGAATAAACACTCAGTTTAGAGAAGCACAGCTGATCTCTAACAGTACATATGTTTTTGTTTGTAATTAATTGCTGCAGTTAGTCAAAGGAATCCTCATACATTTTGAGAAATTTGCTTATTGGCTTTCTTACTTCTAACTGCTAAAACTGTGATTTGTTTATGCTGGCTTAACATTATTATCCCCACAAATGCTGAAAAGGACAAAAAAAAAAATACTCCAACAGAGAAAACAGCTACCTACAGCTTTATAGCAACCACATGTTTAAGAAGAAAGGGTAACCCCTTTGACATGTTAAGATGCAAAACCTCAGAGTCTCCAGTCTACAGTGGGGACTCTCCAGTCCAGCAGACAGCAGCTTCACTCCTGAATCCTGCAGCTCGTTGTCGGTCAGGTCCAGCTCTCTCAGATGGGAGGGGTCAGACTTCAGAGCTGAGGCCAGAGAAGCACAGTCATCTCTGATAAACTGCAGGATCTTAATCTAAATAGAGAACACAGCATGAAACCTTAAGCATTAAATGTGCCATATGATACAAAATCCACTTTTTCCATGTCTTTCAAATTTAAATGTGTGTCTAAAGACCCCCAAACTATGAAAAAAACACACATTCTCGTTCTTTTCTGTGTGTGCAAACATGCCATTTGAATTTGCTTCCATTGTTGACATGAAGAATGGATCTGCCCAGCAAAGGAATTCCTTCAGCCCTTCACTGCAGTAGATGGCACCACCCATTATATCCATATTTTATCTAATTGTTAGTCAATACTGGTGCTTATAAAATACAGTGTGGACTCTTCAGTCCTCATGAAATAGAGGATTAGTTTTTATAGAGATACATATTAACATAAATATAGAGTTCATTATTTCATTTTAAGTCTGTTGTTTTCACTCTGGAATTCAGAAGTTTTAACTGCCCAGGTAAATGTTAAAATCCAGGTGTTATTTCAAATGCATTCAGTTTCACTTTTATTTATGTAGCACCAATCCATGAAAAAGTCCTCTCATTACATGTTTTATATTGAGCAGGGACGAGATCCAACAATTCCCAATTCCCCAACAATGTATGACAACTGCTTTATTCAACCCAGATTACATTGCATTCACTTTCAATGTGAGCAAGAGGAAAGGAGATATTTGCTAAAAAAAAAAATAAGATGAAACTTAAAACTTACATAAGAATTAAGAATTAGAGATGATAATGCAGACTGTATTTTATGATAGTGTCATTGGTGAGCTTATTAGCTAGTCGCAGCTATTGTTAGCAGTAGTTAATGGGTGAAGTAAATGGTAACTAACATACACCACGAATCCCCAAAAGTTGAGGCAGAGCAGCTCAAGGACAGAGGGAAAAACATAAAAAAACATTTTCTGCATAAAATCCAACCCAGTTTCACCAAAACCAGGGAATAAAGTTTTTTTTTTTTAGAAATCAGTGAGGCCTAGTCTCACTGATTATCAGGCCTTATCTCCACCAATTCTGTGCTGTGCCTGTTAGTTCCCCTTCGAGGGAACTCGAACTGCGTCGGTTACGACACTATGGGAACGCCTCTAGGCGAAGCAGGTCTGAACGTGAATGAAATCACTCCAATCCTATTGGCTTGTTGCTAGAACGGTAAGGTGTGACGGAATAACCGGAGGAGTATAAAGCACACCTGTACACACTCATCATTAGCTTTTTTCTATTCAGCAGGCGCTCTGTATGTTGTTTGAAGAAAGCTCCAGTCCTACAAGCAGTATGTCTTACCTGAGGAAGAAGTCTACCAGCATGTCCGGCAATCAGAGGTACAGAAGGTGTGTTTTTTTTCTTGCCCTCGGTACATCACGGATGGAGATTCTCATGAGATGTGTGTCTCATGTTTGGGGATGGAGCACACCCGGGCAGCTCTCGAGGGGGCTGCCTGCGGCCATTGCGAAACCCTTTCCGTGCGGGTACTGAGGTCCTGCATGGCTCTCTTTTCCGAGGATGGCCGGATGTGTTCTCCCCGTGGTGCGGGCCCGGCGGCCGCTGAGGCGGCCCGGCGGCTTCATTCATGGGGTTCACAGCGTGATCTGTTGGAGGATTTCGGGACGGCTGAGGTTTTTCCCGACATTCGTCGGCTGGCTCCGACGCTTCCTTCCCTCGTTCGGGAGCCCGTTTCTCGGCTTCTCCCGCTCGCGGTTTGGATCCGGAGACGCTGCAGCAATCCGACTCCGAGGAGGTGGATGTGCTCGGCGTAATGGACGATGACTTCCGGTGTCAGGCCAACGTCATCAGGCTGCGCCCGACTATGACGAGCTGCTGGAGGTGGTGACTAGAGCCGTGGCTAAGCTCAACATCGACTGGCCACAGGAGGAGCAGACACCACAGGCTAGTGGTAAGCTTGATGAAAGGTTTCTTAAGCACCACGCACCACCTCCACGCCGATCTCTGCCATTTTTTCCTGATTTACATGATGAACTGAGTAAATCATGGGGCAGACCCTTCTCTACATGGCTTTCCACGCCCCGATCACTGAACTACAGCAATGTGATGGGGTTAGCCTTCTGAGAGACGCGATCTGAGGACCGTCATCCAGTCCCGACGGAGCTCAGGGAAGAGGTCCTGAAGACCAGGGTAGGGGAGTTCTTCCCCCCCCCCCCCCCCCCGGAGGCTGACCGAGGTCCCCTCTGCCGTGGCAACAGGTGATGTTATCCCGCCGTTTACACGTTCAGGACGCACTTGCCACCATCGAGTCCACGCCGTACTGCCTGCCCCGAGGGTCTGCAATCGGGCGGCGTCCCGACTCACTCACCATGGATCTTCGGCGGCTCTCCCTGCCGTTCTGGGGCTTCAGGGATCCACCAGAAGATCACACGAGACACCGACCACCAGCCCCGAGGGGCTGGTTCCGTTGGCAGACTTTGCAGACACTTGGCGGAGCCTGACGAACATTTCTCCGTGGGTCCTGCGCACTGTCATAGATGGGTATCGACTACAGTTCAAAACCCGCCCTCCAAAATTCAACGGGGTGGTTTGGACTGTGGTCCGCCCGGAGCAAGTCCGGTGTTGGGACAGGAAGTTCGTACTCTGCTGAGGAAAGGGGCCGTGGAACATGTCTCCCCCCCAGACAGAGACGCCGGCTTCTACAGTCGGTACTTCATAGTCCCCAAGAAGGACGGAGGGCTGCGCCCTATTTTGGATCTGCGGGTTCTAAACCGGTCTCTGAGGAGATTCAGGTTCAAGATGCTCACCATCCCCGCCATCGTGTCGCACATCCAATCCGAGGATTGGTTCGTCATGATAGATCTACTGGACGCTTATTTCCACGTCTCCATCCGTCCTTCTCACAGGAAGTTCCTGAGGTTCGCCTTCGGGGGTGTGGCTTACCAGTATCGGGTTCTTCCATTCGGCCTGGCACTTTCCCCTCGCACATTCACCAAGTGTATGGATGCAGCACTGGCCCCGCTGAGGCTCCAGGGCATCCGGATTCTCAACTACATCGACGACTGGCTCATCCTGGCCCAGTCTCGAGAGTTGGCGGTTCGGCATCGAGATGTCGTTCTGGCTCATCTGCAGCGTTTAGGGCTGAGGCTCAACGCAAAGAAGAGCGTGCTGGCGCCCACCCAACGGCTACGTTCCTAGGGGTTGCATGGGATTCGACAACGATGCGGGCACAATTGTCTCCGGCACGTGTCGACACCATATTGGCTGCTGTGAGAGGGGTGAAGTTAGGCCACGCCATCACTATGAAACACTTTCAACGAGTGTTGGGTCTCCTGGCGGCTGCGTCCAGCGTAATACCATCTGGACTGCTGCACATGAGACCCCTGCAGTGGTGGCTAAGGAACAAGGGTTTTTCCCGAGGGGAAATCCTCTCCGTCTGATTTGGGTTACGCGCAAGTGTCTTCGTTCCCTATCAGTTTGGAAGGAAACTTGGTTCCTGTCCCAGGGACCCGTGCTGGGAGGGTCTTGTCGTCGGCTGGTTATTTCGACAGACGCCTCCCTCACGGGCTGGGGCGCGGTCATGGACGGCCGCTTTGCAAGGGGATCTTGGCAGGTGCATCAATCCGAGTGGCATATCAACTGTCTCGAGATGTTGGCGGTGTTCCAGGCTCTAAGGAGTTTCCTGCCCGATCTCCAAGGCCACCACGTCCTGGTTCGTTCCGACAACACAGCGGTGGTGGCCTATCTGAATCACCAGGGCGGTCTGCGCTCGCGCCCTCTGGACAGACTGGCGCGTCAGATCCTCCTGTGGTCCAGCAGAGGTTACTATCGCTCAGGGCGATGTATTTCCCGGGGACGCAGAATCAGGGAGACCTGCTGTCGAGGCAGGGGCTGAGGCCCGGGGAATGGAGACTTCACCCCGAAGTGGTGGAGCTCTTGTGCGAAGAGTTCGGCCCCATAGACGTGGATCTGTTTGCGTCTCAAGAGACTACGCACTGCCCACTATGGTTTT